TACCAGTGTTCAGGTACTTTACCGCTCAGCCGCTGGTTGGCCAGTGAACTAAGGGAACCCTACAATAAAATGATTTAAAGTTAACGCCCAAGCTCTTTTTTTATATGCACATGCATGATATGCATTTTATTACATGGAAAAGAAAACTCTAAAGCATGATAATCATTCTCCATAACTCCTGGAAACAGGCTAATTTTCCAATTTGTCAACTTTGTCAATATTTGTATCTGCCAAGTTGTCGCGGGTTTTTAAAAATCGTTATGTTAAATTTCCGTTTTCTTTTGTAGAATCTAAAATCACTTACCTCAGCAAATTTCGTACTGTGGAGCTTGAATTTCATCTTCTAAAACAGTCAAGTAATTTTTCTAACCTGGAATTTGCAGCTTCATTTAATAAGGCAGATCGAAATATATAAATATCTCAGAAATATACCTACTGTTAGCAAAGTGAGATGAATAATAAGCCGGAAATTGGTTTGGAAATTTTTTTTTTCTGAACAATCAGAACTAGTGCTGTTATCAAACATGAAATGCATGAAGTCATATTCGTAATTATGCAGTACTCGAAAGTAGTCTGTAATGTTGAAAATCCATACCTCTGTGCAAGAGCTACTATCTCTTTCAATCATTTGCCATAATTAATAAAGCTAAGGCACAATTGATGCTATACAGATGCTTCCGTTCAGTAAAAGATAATCTATTTAACCTTTTATTATTATTTTCGGGTAGCATGCTAAATAAAATACTGAAAAAATTGTGCTTGGGAAGGTGTCCCAGCTTAGAATCACAATCAAGTACAGATTCAGAAAGAATTTACCAAAGTTAAAATCTTTAAATAGAAATTATATCATTAGCGCAGTACCGAACAAAGAAACCTTATCTTCGAGTCCTGATCGAAGGGAGAATTTTACGAAAATTTTTTGACTCAAAACTGCGTTATACTATTCAGACAGAAACTGATTGAGAAATGCTCAAGAAATTTACATTAGGAACTGTTTGAATGATTTTGTGATTCAAATTTATGAAAGAACATGGAAGGAATACAGGGTCAGTGCTAGGATTTTATGTTCAAAAACCCAGGTACAACCCCAGGCGCTAGGTTCAAAAATATTCTGATATCGGTGAGTATTTTTGTTTTTTGAAGGAGAAAGAACTGTATCTCTTGCCTTCGAAATAGATAGTATTTCATATAAAATATATCACAATTTAAAACTAATTTTTGCTTAATTTTATACCTAAAGGTACGCTTTCAGGAATTATACCTCGAAAAATAAAGTTGACTATTGACATATGAGCTATTTTAATGGGAATAGTCTGTAAAACAGATGCGTGGATTTGTTACATTCGCTGTCTAACAAGTTTGCATATGCGTTAAAGCAGTAGTGAGAATTAAAAAATTTTAAATGTTTCAATTATTTTGATTAAATATAAAAAAAAAATATATATTTCAGCTTTCCTGAATGCTTGTGTAGGATGTTTCAAACTGTTACCATACTCTCATTATTGTAATCCTTTGGTATAAGTAGTAAATTTGTTTGCTTTTCAAAAAATGTACTAATTTTATTTGAGTGTCGGAGAACACGCTATGTTACGAATTTTTGCTTTATTTATGGCTCATAAAAAATCAGCAATCAACCTTTCGTTAAAATGTTTTTAAATAAAATTTAAATTGACTTTTTTATAATTTATATTGCTCTTTAAGTATAATTCTAATTATGTTCAATAGATGGCAAAATTATTAATATTCACTATATTTTACTAATGGGCTAAATGATCTGAAAACTTCGTTGCTTCATGGCAAATGCTAATAAGCCAACCGCGTCTTTCTCTAAACTGTTATTTCATTTTCTAAAAAATAAATAAATAACTAAATAAATAAAAGCTTGTTTTTAATAAGAATAATAAAGAATGTTCAGATGGAACATATCCAAAAGAACGATGTTACATGTCAGAAAATAGTACCATTAAGAACATGCATGTGTTACACCAATAAGAAGAAAACTGGTGAAAGTTTGTTTTCTCACTAAAGTATCTCAATTGGTTTCAGTGGAGGGGTGGGCACTGGGTTACGACAGAGCTTCAGATGATATCATTCTTATTCCATGTTGCTTGAATGGACTTAAATACCAGGTAATCGTAGACAGAAAACTCTTTATGTGAGCTTTTACTATTTGTGAAAAGTAAAAATTCTTTAACCAATGACATTTACATAAAACTTTTAATAACCAATAGAGTAATAAAGCATTACTACGCACCTCTTGCAGAAAATGAAAATGAATAGGGATTTTCATATTTGTTGTTAATGCTCACTTGTCTGACCTAGTCAGCCCATGGACACGAAATTCCTCATGGCAAGGAACGCATGTTTACGCCTGCCGTTGGCAACAGCTTTTGAACACCTTACAGGTGACAGTGTGATTTAGCTCAGTTCCCCCCCCCCCAATTTTGATGGAGAGCACAGAGCAATTTTGATGGAGAGATTTTGATGGGGGACGGCCCGAGGGTCTCCCACCCTTCTTTCCCATGGAGGTAGGAAGTAAGAAGGAGTCGCCCTAAACAAGTTTCTCCGTACCCTGCTCTGAAGCACCGGCGATCCCTACGTGGTGACCAAAACATTGGGTCATTTACCATTGAGTTCTATGGGATTTGGACGCGTTCGGGTTGTAAATATTGTTAATTACGGTCGCAAAGATACATATAATAAATGTATATATTTTCTTTTTTACAACACTTCAGAGTCCTAAGTATGTGAAAACAACATATTTTTTAAACAACATTTCATTCTGAACGGAATTAAATGCTTTACTTTCTCAGAATGGTTTAATTTGAATGAAATATTTTCACAAGTTTTCGTTAATTACATTAGAAAAAAAAATTAAGGTAGTTTCGATTTTATTCGGTTAAGGTACAAAAATTAAGATCAAAGTTTTATTGTATTATTAATATTAAAATTATGCATTATTTCTTTTCTATTATAGAGCTTCTTCCTAAAATACTTTCTTTAAATATGACATGATTTTTTTGGCTTCTTTTAAATCGAAAAATGTAAGTCAATTTATAATTAATGCTCTATTCGGGTTTCATTTTAAATTAGAGAATTATTAGGAAAGTAGTATTTGACTTTCTCTGACATTTCTGAAAGGGAATAAAATAAGTTTTTTTTTTTTTTTTTTAAGTATTATTTAAAAACTTGTAACTGAGTTATTATAAAATGTAAAGGGAATAATTCTTTTAATTATACTTATCAGATTTTTTCTTTTACCCTTCATTTCAACAATACATATTTCCAAAAACTCTTTATTACGTTCTTAAGTGCGCATCTCATAGCATTTGCTTTACAATACCTTTTAACAGATTGCTTTACAATACGAACAATTCTTGCTTAAATAGTTTTATAACTTATTTGTCAACAGGATTTCAATTTATGTTTACAATTCAATATTAAGGTTTATTATATATTTAGATAACATTTATAATCATTATAAATTAGATACATTTAATCATTAGATTTCTTCACAGTACTTTCACAGTTGTTTATAAGTGAATAAATTCTCATTCAAATACTATATAAATAATTTAATGAATATTTATTAAGTATTTTGTCAAAGGCAGATACATGCCTTTTTGCAAGCACATGCATAAATAACCCATACATATTCCTATTTATCATTTCCGGCATGTGCAAATCTTTAATTTCTGTGCATTCACTATATTTTTCGTGTAAAGTAATTTACACTAATTTAGCATACACCCGAAAGTTTTACATAAAAAATATATATGAATATAATTTGAATGAAAATTATAAGTATTATTTTTAATACCCACTCAAAGGTCAGTTTTTCTTCAAAATTCCCCCCACGATGGCATCTCTCTCTTTAGGCAGAGAGCCCTTGCATGCGTTACTCCTCTATTTAATAAAAACTTAATCTGACCTATGTGCCTAATTACAAATATTTTAACATACATAATTTTATATTTACATTTTGCCATCAAGTTTCAAACTTTTCAAATCTTCTAGAAAATAAATTTTGGCAGATCTCTTTTAGCAATTTTCTTAAAATCTATATTTTGGTAGTGCAACAGCTTAGAATTTTATAAAACAAATTCATAATCAAAATCGCTGTTGTTAGTTATCGAAAAATAACCAAGATGTGATTTTTGCGTAAATGTCACTAAAACTATACTAATTGCTATTATCCATCCCACTATGAATGTTTCTTTCATGCGAGAGAGTGTCCCTTTTTTCGATTTCTATGGAACTGTCGTGTGTCGAAATACTATCAGAATTTTGTCAAGCGAGCTTCTGAATGTAAACAAAAAACACCCCGTCTGGTGACCCAAGCTTCAAAGCAGTGCTTCACTTCTAGCGCGGAATGGCCCCTCCTCCCTTTCCTACCTACATGTTCTTTCCCTACCAGCAATCTCTCGAGAGGACTTTCGGCTCGCCGAAAATTCAGAGTGCCCCCATGCCACACGGACAATATACATTTACAAACATCCATGATTCGAACCTATTCTTCGGGATTCGAACTCGGGCCTTTCGGCACGACCGTTAGCGACGCTAACAAGTATACCGGATGGGTGACATTTTCATATTTAACTAACATTAATCCCAATAACATAAATATTAATTTTTTATTTCTTTATGAATATATAGATTTTACGCTGTAAACGTTTTAGGTAGGCTGGGTTCTTTAACCTGGTACGAACTGCTATGATTTTATCAAACGTGTAACATCTGAACCTATGCTTAAAAATAAAGCCGAAGTTTTCAATAACGAAAGCATTTGTGGAATTTACATATGTTTGTGCATAATGTACAAGTATGCATCATTTAGAAGTTCGAAACTTAATTTTATACGTAATTTAGACAATCTGGGAGCATACATAATCTTGCTTAGCAATCTAACCTGATTTGATTTAATTAAATTCCTTATATAAATATTATTGTATAGAATATTATAGAATAAATATAACAAAAGTGCGTGTTGCTATATTTACTTCATTTGGTGGCAATGAAGTCTTCGAATATCATCATATTTATAGTAGGTAGCGCTAAACAACAAAAGCGAATCCAACCATTCAATTTGAATTGTGAGACTCTTATCTACTTCTTTACAGTTGTCAGACAGCTCATCCACCTGCAAAAATATAGAAAGTATATGTAAGAACTGTAAACAATTCTGCAGAAATTCTGTTGAATAAATTTAAACGCAGTGATGAATTCATAAGTTTTTAAATGTTCTCGCATATGTCTTTGCTATACTATTTGCGTCTTCTATATATATTAAAGGAAGAATCTGTTTGTGTGTGTTCGTGCTGCGCGTAAGCTATTATAGAACCAGGGCTACGAAATTTGGTAGATATGTGTATCTAGACTAGAGCCAGTGCACCTCGAAGCAATTTTTTCAAAATTAGAATAAGCGTTTTTTAATTTTACATTTTTTGATGAAATCGCATCAAATCGATAATTCTCTCTCGTTAAATCAGCAACAATGGCACGCAGCCATTGTTGCTGATATATCACTGTTGCCATTATTGCTGATATCAGCATTGTTGCCACTCGGAAAAATGAGGAAAAATGATCTGTGCAGTTTTTAAATTTAATGTTTCCGGATACTGGACGTTTGTCGAGGGAAGAAAACGGGAAGTTGGTTAATTTATTTATTAGGATTATTAATATTTGTATTAAGGGATATTGCTTATTTTATTGTAATTTTTTATATGCAATACATTTTTATTGAAATTTGTGTTCTTTTATATATATAAAGTTGTTCTGCAGAGTAAAATTCTGTGCAGTTTTTAAATTTAATGTTTGGTGTTCTATTTAGGCATTTTGCTGGTACATTTAAAAGCCAGACGTAGCGGCTAGTATTAAATATAGGAAGAATAGCGAGAATATTACCACTTCATAATATTTCAGAACCATTTTATAGCAGTATACTAACAATTTTCATAAAATTTACATGTCTGAAATATGAACGTGTGCTTGTATTTAAATGTTAAAATCAAATGTCTGTAAGATGGACTAATATGGAGTGCGAGTGCAGATTTTCGGTCTCCTGATAACAGCATATCACACAATATGTCTATGTATCATATGCGAGTACATGTGCTTAAAAAATATATCATGATTAAATATACTTTGAATCATCAGTTGCATTTTTAGGAATGTATTAAACAGAGTAGGATCTCATACTGTCCCTTAACACCTGCCAATAAAAATGCAAGACACTTATATTTTGTAGAGACCTTTTAAAAATTGTCAAATTTCGTAGCAAAATTAGTCAAAAAATTTTCCTTTATATACGATTAAAATTTATCTGTAACTGTGTAAAGATTTCGTATCTGTTTAAAGATTTTGGGCGCCTTAGGCAACTATTGTTAGACAAATTACTCAAATAAGCTTTTGAAAGTAAACTTCTAAAAGTAATTTTCTACTTTTGCTTAACATGAATATTTGAATATAAGTTGAAGACGAAAAATCTCACTTGCAGAAGCTTTAAAATTCAAAAATCGTTTTCTAACGTAATTCAGATTTTATACAAGCATAAAAAATTGGAATTGCATTTTGCATTGTTTTGCAAGGAATGTAGTTTAAGTGATTAATCTTGACAATTTTTGAGGTAATATTACGGAACACACTTTATAAAGATATTTTTAAAAGGATTTTAGCAGTGCTATTTGACTACTTTATTAAAACAAAAAGTGACTTTGTGATCAAATGTTAGAGAAGTGATTAGTCATGTAAAAAATTTTAAATATATTGAGCACAGTGCATTCCCATCTAATGCTTAAGAATTCAAAAGTTTAGTAAATTTTATTTTTTAGAATTAATATTTCACGATCATTTTAACTTGTTATTTAACAGAGAAATGCTGTCCTTTATTGAAAGCTACGTATTCGTTTCTTAGTCGCATATTACTAGTAAAAATCTTTAAATAAAAGTGCCACTTTTAAGTGTTTCAATCATTCAAACTGCTGAGATTTTACGTTGGGGGCCTGTCAGGGATCAAGTGGTCTAAACTCTAGCAACTCGATAATAACTCAAATTCCGATGAATGGGCTGCCTGCATGAAAGTTTCAGTAAGTAACTTACTGAAGTAAATACACTTTATAACATAAAAAGCAACGCACCAAGAACTAAGTTATTCGAAGAAATTGCATATTCCCATACCTTACGATAGAATATGCTAATGATTAGCTTTTGGCGGGCAATGAATGAATAGCTGGAACTCCAGTACATTGCAACGGAGCATCCGGGTAGTGTATATAAAAGAGGACATTCCAAAGCTAAGAAATAATTTCCATGCGAATGCGGTTCCGTCAACCCACATGGATTGTACCAATGCCTCGACGACTGGTTCGCGAACAATATGAGTAAATGTTTCCATTTAAGAGAGGATGAGCAATTGGACTAAGGTTGGTCAAATTCTTATGATCGCTAGACATTTGGGTCGGAACGATGCTACCATTCGACGTTGTTGGCATGAATGGGTGAACCAGGGCCGTATATAGCGTCAAGAAGATCGTCAAGAGCGTACGTAGCGCCAAGAGGATAGAGTGATCGTCTGATCGGCGCTCACACCCCTGATGCGTCCTTATCATTGGTCCGACGTGTAATCGGGACACCAGTGGCTGCAGTAACCATTGACAGGCGACTCAGCGAACGAGGCTGATGTCACAGAGGAAACTACGCCGATTGCGCTATTGCACCACAGTTGCACAACGCCAGCCACGTTTGAAGTGGTGCTGGGCACATTCGACCTGGAATCTCACGGACTGGAGCAGAACTGTTTTCAGCGATGAGTCTCGTTACGAATTATGCCCCGATAACGAGGGAAGACGTGAATGAAAACGTCCAAGAACCGCGGTGGGATACTCACCTGACTGTTATTCGCCACACAGCCAAACAACTAGGATCTACGATATGGGGTGCCATTCCATTTGATAGCTCGACCCTTTTGGTTGTCGTCCGTGACACCCTTACAGCACGGCGGTACGTCAACGAAATTCTACGCTTCGTAACATTGTCCATCCTCTTACGGATTTCTGGGCTTACATTTTAACGGCATAATGACCGTTCATATACGGCAGCCCTTTTTATTGCTTGTCTTTGTGCTTCTCCAAAACTTTCTTGCCCGGCGTGATCGCAAGATCTATCTCCAACAGAGCCTTGTTTGGACTCTGATGAGCAGATGTCTCCGATCGTCCACTTACTACTGCGATATAAGCTTGCTAATTGGAATGTGTATGGCAAACAATGTCGCAAGAGGACATGCGCTAACCCTACAGTCAATGTCCAATAATAACAAAGAACTTGCACCACGGCCTTAGGAGGGCCAACGCATAATTGATTTTGTTGTTCTTTTAGCTGTATTTACTAAATAAAACATTCAGTTTTTATGATACTGTTAGCGTTTCGGTTTCAATGCATGTAAATAACATCTACCGATTTGCGTCATATTTGGATAACTCCTTTCTGGTCCGTCGGTTTATACGTTATGCGGTGTATATCAATATGACAAAATTCTTGCAAACTGTACTCAACATTTGTTTTGTTAGACTAGAAGAGAAACACGCTAATGTGACAATCAAAATCGTAAAAAACAACCTTATATTTAGCGTAGGTATAATGAAACACTCAATCGATTTCGAGGGCAGCTAAAGGTCCCTCCTCATCAGGAGAAAGAAATACATAGAAAGAAGAAAATAGGAATCACAGAAATACGTGGTGCTTATCAGCACTGCACGTGGTTATAACTAGATTTTTAATCAGAGTTGCACTGGGCCGCCTACTTTTACTGAGCCAGGCTGTCTGATCAAGCATAAAGAAATATTAGCGAAGTTAAAATAGGGAGCGAGGCAAATGCACATTACGCTCAAAATCTGACTTCAAATAATGGAAGCAACCACTGAACGGATTTTTTATACCCTCTGTAGTACCAAGTGCGAGGAGGTAACGCCATCTATCGGCAAAAATAATTGAATTAAGACAGTAGAATTTTAAAGGCATTAGGAAAGGACTGGATTGGACTTCAAATCATTAACTAAACTTTCTAAATCTTTGTGAATGTGAAAACCTCAGAAAATCCAATTCGCCTATGGAAGAAGCCTTTTGGATTATTTTTGCAGACCCAAAATCAAATTATGGTTAAAAGTCCAGCTATGATACGCTATTGAAGACTTGTTAATTCCCCTTTTTTTGACATAAGATTCATGTTCCTTGATATGAAACTTCAACGCTCTTTTTGTTTGGCCAATATATCTTAAACCACACTGACATGATATACTATAAATTCCCCAAGAATTCAAGACAGAAACGCAATCTTTTAGAATCGAAGGGTAATTTATTAATAGGGAGAAAACCGACTTTAAAATTGAATTTCTGGAGAATCCGTGCAATTTTATAGCTAACAGAAGATAAAATGGAAGCACGACAAGGTCATTGATATTATTTCTAACAGTGGAATGTCTTCTTTGATGGGAATCTGAAATTTTTTTTTGACGGCCTTTATCAATAATCACGGAGAAAAATCCACGGTCAATCGCAACTGCTCAAATAATTAAGTTCGTTGTAAGCAAAGATTCAGAGGAACAAACTTTTAGCGCGCGGAAAACATAATAGTAAAAAGAAGCCATTTTTTGCTTAACAGGGTGGCATGACTTGGCAGGTGGTAACAAACTGCAAAGGTTTACGGTACACAGTGGTGCTAAAATCGGTTTCAATTGCGGATTATAAGAATATCGAGAAGGGGAGGGAATTGTTTGATTCAATTTCAAGAGTGAATTGGATGGCTGGATCAATTGAATTCATAGATAGAATCTCGGATAAATCTCTTTATAACCGTCCAAAAAGTGCGAAAGTGTTGTCAACATACCGAATCCAAAGACGAAAAGATAATTTATCAAATAATTTCATCTCAAAATAGTGCATATAAATGTCAGCAAGTACCGGACTGAGAGGATTACCCATAGCCAATCCTTCAACTTGACGAAATATGCATTTTGGAAAACAAAGTGGGTTTGACTTAGAGAAACTTTAGTAAGCAAAACCAACTCATTAATTTCAGTATGTGTGAAGTGAAATTCCGAAGCCTAGTTTCAAGACAATTTAGTGCTCCTTCGACCGGAACATTAG